CCCCCCCCCGAGATATTCAGCGTCCACGCAGTATATCTTTTACCGTATATACAGTATATATTAAGGACGTGATGATCATGCAGGTTTAATTAAACAACACTATAGTAGAAACTCTTTCATATCACTTAGTACGCATACAAAAGAGCGTTGGCTGGAAAATATGAGACAATTAGCGCCAAAAACACCGTTGCCAGGAAATTGCAAGTCAACAAAGTGAAAATATCCTTCTTTGCAAGTTTTGTTGGTCAATAGCCAATGATTTCTTTTTTGTTCTGCATCAAGTTATTTTTAAACTAGTATACATCACAGCCTAAAATCAGACATGCATGTTTTTCCATGACTTTAAAATGATCAGCTATCACTTATAGTCGGCATCATGATCAGTTTAGGTTTTCAGTGATATAGTTAGGTTTTCAGTGATATATTTTTTTTTGGGGGGGGGGGTTATAGTTATCGAGTGTAACTATTGCTGATTTTCAATCATCATTTTTCACATAAGAACTTTTCACTAATCAACCTAAAACATTTAGAACATATAGCAAGATACAAAGTTTACATTGCAATGAATAAAACTGAACTGAAATACACATGCTTTGTATTGGTCATAATTTTGCAAGAGGAGACCACGTCGGAAACGTCGCAGTTGTAAAACAATTCTGACTGTAGTATACATACACCAAAACGTCTCGTATATAGGTATACCTATGGGAATATCCTGAGTCTGCAATCATGCACGGCTTCAATTTTTGAATTGCAGAATAATTAGATGCACTGTCTAGTGTATATAAGATATCTATGATTCTGATGCAAAAAATTGTTTCATTGTCTCTGGCACGAATCGAACCTGGTGATATATGGAAAAAGAGGCAAAAAGTGACGTTCAAAAAATTCCGTATTTCAAGTCACATTAAAAAAATAATCCTCATTCCGTCAAGGAATTAATTAACAAAAAATGCATATTCTACAAGCAAAAAGTGCAAAGAATTCCCCATCCAAATATTTCCGGCTCATTTCCCGAGTTTGGATGCATTTCCCTTCGAAGTTTAAAACAAAAGTCATAACGTATATATTCAGAATATTTATTTAAGAAATTTACTGGGGTTATAGTAATAATATTTAGACAATGGTTTTATGGATGATATTTCAATTTTATTTACAAAATCATCAAACCTAATATTTGATGATTATCAAGCTAAAGTCATTTAATGATCAAACCGCCTCGATTAGGCCTACCATATATTTTGTTGTCAAGTTTATTACTCAAATCGATATTTGTATATCATATTTTTATTATTAATTAATTGATAACGATGCTTCTTTTGTTTTGAAAGAACCTTCACTGGATCGGCAGAATGACAGCTAGGAACAACGTCATTTCTCATGGTCATTTCCTTGAGTTTCCGGTTATCAGTTTCAGCAGTTGAGTATTGTGGTATTCTGTCGTTCATGAGTATTGTCAAGTGGCTAACGGTTATGACGTTAACTAGCCCGGAACTACGTCAAAATGACCTGCATGGACACGTGTAATGTTGCCAATGTATTTTCAACATAATTGCACTTGGCCTTGGCCTTGAGCATAATTGGGGTATATTATTAATTCAAAATCTCTGAAATTGAACTTACGAGTTAGGGGCTTATGCTACGTAACATTGTAGGCGGTGCCAAGCCGCCGCACTCCCTTTGGTTTCTACGCAGCCAGTCGGCAGAGATTCGGGAGTATTTCGTTGTCTTTTCATTGTTTTGAAAATCTTACTATTCCCTAAGTCATTCAGTTAGTCATGCATTCTTTCTTGCAAGTTGCAATGCTTAATGCACCGTGGAATAATTTATGCCTGAATCGTACATCTGAGCACACACCATCACGTTATCTACGTACTTTTTCCTATAATCCGTAGGATTAACGTACGTAATTCTCAATCCCATTAACTCGGTAGTAACGTCAGAGCTGAATGTCCGTCAAGGCAATCTTATTGACTGTATAATATGATTTGCTTGTTGTTCAAAAATTGTAAATCTGTTTTGCAAATCGAAATTGTCCTGTGTTGATAAGTACCATATGTTATCTGAAATCTATATGCATGAAATGAGAAGACTCGTAAGTTAAACCTATTCCGAATACATTTTCAAACTAGTCAAATGATGAAAGTTATTGTTGTTTTTTAAGCGTTTATTAGCGAGTGGGAAACTTCGACATGGCCGGAATATTCTTGGCTTCAATTGTACTAAAAGAGATGCGCTATCTAGTGTATATAATATAAGATATCTATGATCAGTACAACTGTACAAGTTCTTCAATTTGCCGCCAAAAATGCAGGAAATGGGATTTTCGAGCCCAATGTTCCTAGAGGAGTGTATATGTACCTTTGTCAGTGACTCAGTGCCCTCTACAAATTACAGCCCCTCCCCCTCCCTATGCAATGAGAATTAGAAATATTCTAGATGATTCCTCTCCATTGTCCATGGAAGCGCATCTCGAGATGGTCGATCGATGAACGTCATGAAACATCTGCAGATGTGCAATCGGTGCAGTTTAATTGCTGGCTTTACTATTTGTTGTTTAGCAGCTGGCGCACGAAAACGATATCAATCAAAGAATCCTGGCGGATTTTGATTGGGATGATATCTTTCAAAATACAGATCAACCAGTTTAATTCCCACAGATTTTAATTAATTGACAAGCGCCAACCAAGGACTCACGGAGTTTTTCGTCGAACAGTGCGATCAATATATAGAACATTTTCGAATTTATACGCTGAGTTGTCCACTGGGCAATCACTGTGGACGCCCCTGAAGCCAAGACAGTGCCAATGAGAAACATGACATTTAGCACGAAGCCTCGTTCTCAGGCTATTAATTGCCGTATTGGGCTATAACTGAGCATTTGACAGTTTTCGGAAATGGCCTTTTGATTGCACATGATTTGTGAGTTTGACTAATGGTCGCGGGTCGCGTGTCGCGGGTAAAAAGTCGCGTGTCGCGGGTAAAATGTCGCGGGTAAAAAGTTGCGGGTCGTAAAAAAGCTCCAAACCGTGTGTTTTATTGAGTCGCGGGTTGAATAAAGTGTGTAAAAATCACATTATCATTTAGTAAACAACTATATAGGATTGCTTCAATACGAAATATTGCCCATAAGAGCCTTTTGTCATGATTTAATGGTTCTATATAAACGTGCCAGAAGCCTAAAACTTGAAAGAATAATTTCAATATGTTAAACCAACAATTATACCATGTCAAAAATCCTCTAATCAAAAAATATGTTCTGAAAGAAACAAACAAACAAGACTTTGGTAGAAATAAATTCAGTTTACCACTAATTACAATCAGTTTTATACCAATTTAAAAACAACCATATAGTATCACAAATAATAGATATATCCATACTAGGACATTATAAAAGTACATTATGATTCACCAACAACCCGGATATTTAAGTCGCTGTTCTCTAGCACTTGTTTCTGGAAAGTACTGATCGATGCTGCCAGAGGCTTGACGACAACGTGCACTGAGCCACTGAATAGCGGATTTTTACGCCTGGTAATATGTATTACTAAAATCAGGACTATAAACATAGGAATGTGTAACAGGATCCTTTTGCACTACCGTCTATCAACGTGCTTTACAACTATGATGTTATATGGCTCTTGTCTATATTTATCTAGAAACTCGCAAGTCGCAATTGCAGCCATAACATCTACGAACAACTATTGATAAAAACCATTAAATAACTAAATTTTAATGTGATTTTTACACACTTTATTCAACCCGCGACTCAATAAAATACACGGTTTAGAGCTTTTTTACGACCCGCGACTTTTTACCCGCGACCCGCGACATTTTACCCGCGACCCGCGACTTTTTACCCGCAACACGCGACCCGCGACCATTAGTCAAACTCGATTTTTGTTATCAGTTTCGTCTGACGACTGCACCTTGTGCCATTGTAATTCAGTTGAGTTAGTTTTCAAGTTGCATGAGATTTCATTAACGTGACATCACATATGTGTCAGTGAATGTTTTATCTTTCATATCTAAAAGCATGTACCGAATATAGACCAATATATTGTCGAAAGCACTCAGATGATAACATATAATGTCCGCATATAATGTCCATCGCAGATATATAGTATTGAAATGAAGTGCCATACTGTTTAAATTAACGATGGAGAGCTGTTTTGTTCAAATAATGAACTTTTTTGTAAATAATGATTTTTTAAGCAGGAGCTTGTGGGGCACGCTGACGACCGTGGACGCAAATCATACTCAAGAGTGAAGAATAAAGAAAATGTATGCGCAGAAAGATAATACATCGGCTACTTTAATATAAATTATTTGTTTGCGAATTGCTTGTTTCTATGACGATTGCAGAGAACTCTAGTGGAGGTTCAGACGTTCAGTAGGTTCTGAGTAAGATATAAATTGACGATCAATGTCTCATAGTTAAGTTAAGTTAACATAACTGTGATCCGCAGTGCCAGAGTCGAATAGTATAGACAGATGATTGTCACGTTTAATATTGTATTATTAATAATATAAGACTTATGTTTAGTGTAACTGAACCACCTGCATGTTGAAGTAGGTGCAAATTTAGAGTGGAATTTTTATACACAAACATTTTACAGTATTTGGGGCATCTTACTCGGTATAACTAAACTAAGTGTTGAATAGCCTGCGTAGCAGACGTGTTTTTAGGACTTGTGGGCGGGAAAATTAGGGGGGGGGGGGAGAACTTTTTCCCGCCTGCAAGTCCTCCCCCAAGAAACCGTCTGCTATACGCAGGCTAAGTGTTAAAGGGTTTGTTATGGAAATTTCGAGTGGAATTTAGAACTACGTATTTAAGTGTCAACCAATCGTGGGAGTGTAGACTCTCTGTAGAAACATGAAGACAGACATTCTGTAAAGATATGTGGAGGGCGAAGCGTGAAATGACCCACTGATATACTGACCTTGGCTTTGGAGAGGAGTTTACGCACACCCTAGCAAATTTTTCACATACGATAGAGTGATGAATGACAGATAATGTCAACAAATCGTATTTGATAAGTGTTTAAGAGTACTCTGTTTCAGTGCAAAGCAGCGCGTATCAGCACTAAAGTAAATATTTTTCTAGCTAGGGTGGGTTGAAAAATTTGAATGTAAATTTTCAATGTATAAAATTGAAAGTCAATTTCTCCCTTGTCTAATGTCTATAGTCTATAGAGGCGTTGCAATACATGTTGTCGTTGAACGGGAAGCTGACAATTGTGACTCAATTCAGCATCAAACAATTTTCATTTTCGGTTCAAAAATATAGAAATTGGAAGAACGAGCCAGTTTAATTATTGTATACTCTGCATGTCAGAACCCTTTTATTTCAGTTTGTATGCAGCTTTGCAATATTTCAACAAATCCAACGGCAACGTAGAATAAGCTCGTTATTTTGTATTTTTATATAAGCACGACTTGTATTATTTATAAGCAGTATCAGTATATGATGTATTGTCGACAATATGTACGTCAAGTATTTTTTTTCTTTTCATTTAACTAATCGCGGACAATCTAAGTAAATGTTACGTATAGGTCGATTTGACCCTGTCGCTATAGTCGCTATAAACCCTGGCTTTAGTTAATATTGCCCAGTCGGATATGCAGGGAGCATTTCTTTCGCAGTCTGCAAAGGAAAAAAACATTGCCCTCATGATCGAGTCTCAAGCCTATATATGTCGGAAATACGTATCGGAAACATTGAAAAACTGAATTGTTCATGGCCGAAATGAAATTTTTTATGTGAGTGCTTCGTCTGGTATTAATAATCCATGTTTGTATTTGTAGTGGTATCTTATTTCGTTTCGGTGTCTTTAGTGTGGGCGATCTATACACACATAGATCTAACTCAGCACGCTACAGTACGACAGTTTCGCATGCTGTCCCTCAAATGAAATCATATATGTTCAAATTTGATTCGAAAAAAAATAAGATCATCCATAACATTCCGGGTTGGACTTGGAAAGCCTACAGGCAGGCGCTTGTGGGTTGGAATAATAGATCGCAAAGGCCCATGGGAATGCCTCAACAATACTTGTTCAATTATCAAGGTCTTGGTTGAAGGATTTATAACTTTTTGAAAAATTAAAAATGTGCGGCGTTATGAAGGGTCAATTCCTGGATGGGTGGGAGGGGGAGGGACTCGTCGCACGGTTAGGTGTAAACTAAAGTATAGGAGTTCGTGGTACACAAATTAGAATCTTTGGCAGTCCACCGTACAATGTTGGTTTTGACAGTGTTTGTTATTCACAAAGCTTCACCAAACCAATTTATAAGCTTTCAACATTGAACGGGGTGGGGGAGTTAACTGAAGCGCTATTTTTGCAAAGCCATTTGCGAATCCAAGAATATTTATTCCATGAGTGGAGTCCAGGTTTTATTGGGATAGTTTGAAACTTGTAATTATTTTTTACACTCTAGACGCTCAGGCCGACGGGCGTAGTTATAATTAAACAAGATTACCACCTAATGATAAGGAATTTGTCATTATGTTGACTAAACGACGAAAATTAAAATACTTTTAAATGCTTTCTTCAAGTTGTTGGTTTATTTTAGGATTTAATTACTAGCAGTTACGACCAATTACTTTCAAGACTAGAAGCAGAAGGTGAACATGTGTTTAACCACGTTGGTAGCGGCTACATGCCCATCAGCACACCTTCTAAGAAATGGGCCCAATATATGCATGATTTCTAAACTGATTAAATGATGCTCCCATTATGCTTTGCACGCTTAGAGTTTAAGGTTTAAGGATTAGAGAGTTTAAGGTTTGCAAAGGACAACCTGTTTTGAATTACTGTATATAGATTTAGGCTCAAACCTGAACTCTATAAGCGCGAAAAGTTCCGTGCATGGGAACGCTCTCCATCGCAAATCTACGCTGTGTGCACAAGGATTACGACAATTAAGTCTTTCTGACTCAAAATACGGCACACACCGTGTTTTCCCAGAATCTCATTGCGCTTTTCGCCCTTAGAATTTAAGGTTAAAAGTCAGCATTAAATTAAGTTTCGAATCGAAGGACAACCTTTTTTGAATTAGCTGCATATATAAACCGGTATTATCCATGCAGTACACTGTGATTACTGATTAGCTAATGAAGTTATGGTCAAGTTACATTTTGATTTTAAGTTTGATCCCCCACATTGGGAAATGAGGAGAAATTTTTCGAGCTAGTTGACAAATTCCACATTTCCAAGGGTGATTTGACAAAATACACTTACAATTGACGTTGGAGAAATACATGAAATTCCGTATTCCACTGCATGATATTTTGAAAAAATTCCTCATTCCGTTCAGAGCCGGTAAACAAAAAATTCCATCAGTTGCACAAACAAAAATTGAAGGAACTCCCCGCTTGATTCTAAAATTCCATTATTAAATTAAACTTCGAAATATATTTCAACTCTTTTCTATTAACTATATTTATAATTATTGTAAACTGTAGTCCGTATGAATATTAGACTTGCCCAATTGTACATGAACTTTACATACTGTGTTTTTAATTTTAGTTACAACTATTGTACAATGAAAGCTCGATAAAATACAAAATAAAAAGTATTTTCAATTTTTCTCAGATACTGAGTCACATGGCCTTCAGCCAAACTTCTTGGAAACCAAAACTGAAGATATTGTCCGTGAACATTTATTTTCGTACCGCGTATACATTTTGAACATGTATTGTACACCTATTAAATAGAAACTGAGTACATCAAGATGCAAGCATAAACATATCATCTAAAACCGGCAGTGGCATCTTCAAAAAGCCCGGTCGCGGTCTCTACATACTGGTGGAACACTGGTGGAATGCCACCTGCACTGAAGAGTATGCGCAACTCTTCAAAGGATTTGTTCTAAATATGGGGATTGGCCCGCTTGAAATGCGGGTTGTTTGTTGCGGATATTTGCTAGCCAGACAAAAGAAAAAGATCCAATATTTCGTGCAAAGGCTTTTTGTAACAATTGTATTACGAGAGTGAGTTGTCTTTACCGGTGCGAAGTTTCCAATCTCTACCTTTGGCTTTGTATGTTTGACTGCCGGAGTATGTTAAAATTTACCCAAAGCTTTTCCCCAGCTAGACTTTCGAAAACCTACCACACCCAGTAATCAACAACTATACTCGGTAGTGCTGTAGCGTCTTATCACTTCACTTGGTATTTGATCAGTTTGAGTTGTAGTTCGTGAAACTGCAAACTATACAAACTATTCAATCAGTTGCGAGGTGCGAGAAATGCTGAATCTTCATGGAGTTCATGCATTTAGTCTTCAGTTTAGATTCGAACTGTCAGTCGCGTGATGATTTGCAATAAATGTGAAATATTACTGTTGGTCTCCACTGACAATCTCAGTGACATGTGGCTTTCTCACTTTTATAGTTCAAGATGGAACTATTTATTATTCAGAGTTTGTTTCGTATATTATCTTTAATCTTCAATGTTATAATTGTTATATGTCTTATATGATTTAAATGATGATTCTGGATCATTAGAATTTGCCCTCTATTTGTCATTAAATGCATATTATTTTCATTATTTTCGTACGATTATAAGGCATATAGCATAATACGGCCACCAACTGAAAGCTTAAATCAAAGATTTTTTTATATTTCTATTTTCTGAAGCACTTTGAGAGTATTGACACGTCCTCGGAAACTTTAAGACAAACAGGAAAATTTGAGATATTTACATACTAGGTGTGACCGCATGATAAAATGATAACAAGTTTTAATTATTTTTGTGTACTCGCCGACAACCTGGTACGACATATGAACTCACTCATGGACTGGACTCAAAACTGGAATTTATAATCTTGGCATTTCACCGAGAAGGTGAATCTCCTACGCTGCCTTCTGTTGACTTTTATGTATTATGACATATCATTTGCTCTTTTCATAATTTCAAACTTCAAGGCATGTTTCTTTCATTATTCGTTTGTTGGAACAATGTATAAAATCGAACACAATATCAATCATTTTGGCAAGATACTCGTTCATGGCTCATATATTCGAAAAAACCCAGCTAGTTCTCTGCATTCAGTAGGCATCGAAAATTTAATCTAAGAGTAAGAGGTAGATTTTACGGCTACGATTATTACAATTGGTCCGATAGTCAGGCAATGTCTGTAATCCTGTATGTATATTATTCAAATATGTATGTTACTTTGACACAACTCAACTGATGCATGCATGATTTCAATTTCAAATATTTTGGATAAACCCGATAATATACTTTGTGTCAAAATTCATCTTTTCGATGCCTGCTAATAATTAACTGTGTAAGAATCTTCAACATAGCTATTGCATTGTTTTCGGGACACTCGATATGAATGAAACTACATATATTCCCTGATACTGCAGTGACTGGTGAAAGGTGACCTATAGAACAACCATGTTCTATTATTTCTGTTATTTTTTAATTAACAGTCATGCTGTTAAATATGCTAAGTTGCAGACTTTTAAATACGAAAGTACTTCACACAGATGCTTGCTCCATTAAAAAAATACCACGGCACATGACTCATAAGTCCAAAACAATAGTCACTTCGAAAACGAAAAACATCAGTCTGGAAAAGTATTCATTCGACGTTTTGACTAGATTTTAGTCATCATAATTTTAGTCATCATCAGGAATGATGATGACAAAAATCTAGTCGAAACGTCGAATAATTTGTAAACACTTTTCAATTGCAAAATGTTTAACGTTTTTGGTCGGAGTGACCAGTCAGTGACATCTTTGATTAAAATACTAACTCTGTTCCCGCAAGTCACAATAGGGCTAGTACATATTTGTACAATCGTGGTACAATGTAATCATCACGAGTTGTTTACGCCAAATTCCGACTTGACAGTATTGGGTACAGCCTGCCTAGCATGAGGCGTTCGGGTGCTGTTGATTAACGACACATGACATGGGTGCTGTAATATTGAAAACGGAACTACGGTTAGACTAATTTGAATAGCTATAAAAATTCCCTGTCGTGCTTGCTATCTGTCACTATGGGACTTAATCCCTCCCATTGACGTCAATGATAATTATACGTATTGACCAATCAGATTACAGTTATCCACGTGGTATCCTAGGTGTTCTTAACTTTGCGTGCGTAGTTTCGGGGAGTATTTAGTGTTCGAACGTCATACGAGCAGGTACGAGAAAGTTCGCTCGTTGCCAAAGCAATAAACCCAACGTTTCATTCAAGTATTTAAAAAGGTGAGTCGCCTTACAAATCTACAGTTTTGTCAAGTATGAGAAATAGATTTTAGAGCATGATTGTGTCTATTAGCTATCCGTTTAGTTAGTGTGTAAGAATTTCACATTATTTAAAACTGCGTCACCGCGGCGCCAGTTGGAATGATATTGATCTCACGTTGGATCTAATTATTATATGACTTCTTAAAATAACAAACAGAACTCTAACTTTGTGATTTAATTTGAGCTTTCTAAACGAAATTGGAATATTTTTCAAAGAATTAGTACTTTCTATGTTTTTGACGACTCGCTGGAACATTGGCTTTGCTGAGGCGGACATACCATATATAGTCAGCATGCTATTCATCAAACAATGCACTTTGCCTAGGTTATTTGAAACCTCGTGTTTTCAATACAAAAGTGTTTGTATGTGTGTGTTTGTTATCATTCTAACGACATTTTGTTGCGTTTTTTAAACAGAATTTCGTGATGGATTTGTCACAAGTCTGCGACATCGGTGCCTTGATGCAGAACGGCGTATTGCCACGACAGGACATGGCTTACGTTCCTCCTGATGGTAAGAGACTTTGATTTTCTTCAGTAAATCTCGTCTATGAACGATTCTATGTTCATCTGCTATCAAATCATGCTATAGACATGCATACTATGCTCGTTTCTCTTTCCTTATCTCTTCAATTTCAAAGCGTATATCTAAACACAGTTTGTTTGTCTATTTAAACAGTTCAATACGTCTTAAATAGTGGAGTCAATTCCCTGTTTCAAACTTTTCGCGAGGAAACTAACGGAATTCCCGATGGTGAGTATCTTAACTTTTTATCGAAATTCGTTCTTTCACTTTCGACTTGATATGAAAAGCTTTTCTATTAAAATGACGTAATGTTTAATTATCGCGTGATGTTTTTCATCGGCGAAATTAATCGACGCCCTTTTGAGTCCTCCCACGCTAAGTACCTGTCAACACAGGAATGTGGGGTAAACCGGTTTTGTCTAACCTGTTTGGGCAGGTCTTGATATAATTGATACAGGTTTCTTATTACACACCAATATGCCTTGTTCTTCTTGACTGCATTGATAAATGATAATTGACATACTAAAATACAATTTACTAAAAACATGGTTGATTATATTTCTCGTTGGGTTTTGATGTAATTACCTATTGAGTTCAAAATTCACAGTTTCAAAAACTCGTATCAGTGACAGTGGCGTGTATTTTTTCTTTGGAACTCTTACCAGTCTACGACTAAACAACTAATAATTGGTCAAACTGGTTTGATTTGATGATTTGGCATGTTTGGGCAGATTATTAATTACTGTTTTTTCCTATTACAGATCCTAGAGATTGGACATCTCAGGACGTGTGTCAATGGCTGGGGTGGGCTGAAGCTAAGTTTAACCTTGGCATTCAACTATCAAGCTTCTTGGATCAGTATGGATTCGTCTACGATGGTAAAGCTCTCTGCCGACTTACAAAACGCAATCTGTGCTTTAATACATCGGTAGCTATTGGAGAGATTCTATGGCAATCTCTACAGAGAATCTGCCACGGTGAGTTGTGATATTGAAATACATCATCGCATAT